GATGGGATGGGATGGGATGGGATGGGATGGGATGGGATGCTCCCCCCCGCCGTGCCCCCGCTCCCGGAGGCGGCCTTGTCCTCGCCGCGGGGTGCAGCAGGGCCGTGAGGGGACGGCGAGCAGCAGATGGCTCCGGCGCCGCTACTGTCGGCCCTCGGGCTGCAACAGTCCAAAACCTGCACCAGTCCAAAAAGTCTTGAAAGGGCTCACTGAGGTGGTGCAAGCATGTTGAGAAACAAACTTGAGGGGAAACACTTGCAAACAGTCATCAGATAGCTTGGCTACAGAAGAGCCAAGTGATGTCTCACCAAGCATGGCCCAGTAATGTCTTTAATTATGCTCTTAGGAAAGCACAGATAAAAATGGAAAAGACTCAGCTATCCAGCTTGACGTTTCTGCCTAAGACCCCAGCAGCCGAGCAGATGAAGCGTTTCTGTGAGTAGTCCCAGCTGTTTGGGAGCCATGGGTGGGCACAGTCACAGAGTTAGCTGATAGAACTTTCCCCAAGTTCCCAGTTTCCCCAAAATGTTAATCTGTTAATTGGTAGACTCTTTAGTTTTCTGGTTTGCATATTTATGCTTTTTGGTGGTGTTTTTTCTTCAGTATGCTGGCCTGCAGATGGGTAAAGGATTGAATGAAGTAGGTAGGAGTGCCTGTTGAAGTCAGCAGGGAGCAGGCTGCTGAGAAATTGGGAGAAATACCAAGGTTTTAGAAAACAAAAACATTTTTGTAGGATAGACTTCAGCTTAATGCACGAACCTCATGTACAGAAAGCCAGTTCCCCCAGTCTTTTGGTACTGGCAATAAAGTAGAGTCATTGCTGTAGCTAAGGTGCTTATGAACATGGAGAAGCAGTATTGAGAAAGGATGTGCATTGATCCCTGAGTCCTTGAATGTTGCTTAGTGACTGTTAAGAAAAAGACAGCAGGGTATGACTAGCCAGGCATCTGCAGGCCACCACTGAATGCTGCATAGGCAGAATACAAGGTAGCAAGCAGGATAAACAAGCAGGGTTTTTTTTTAAGTGATTTTTTAAAATTAGAGAAACAAAGACTGACAGTGACATTCTTGGTGTTTCTTCACAGCCTAAATGAAGGGACTGAGTGAGATGCACAGCTGGTAAGTATGTCTTAGAAACAGGTAAGATCCTTAGAAAATTGTAAAGTAAAATGTGCTAATTTTCTTCCTTGTTTACCCCCTTCCACCTCTTTTTGTCTTTCAGATAGTTTCTTCCCTGTTCTAGGCTTGGCTCTGTCATTGACCTCTTTGGTGACCACAGGCAATTTCCTGCCCCTTCGCTTTCCCTTCTAAAATGGTTTCCTGCATCCTACAGGTAAATTTTAATTAACGCAGGCAAAAGGGCCTCCAGTCTTTGGAGAGGGTTTGAAAAAATCTTGCCTGAATGTTTCTGAGTGTTGTTCTGCTTCTAGCTGCTCAGCATGTCTTGGCTGCTCCAGCTCTGCACGCTCTGACCATGAGCAGCAATTCCTCCCTCAGCAACGTGAAGGGCCTGAGGAACCTTACCACGCACGACGATGGGGCGGTCAGAGTGACGGAGTCCGTTGCTATCATCGTCATTGCTATCTTCATCTGTTTGGGCAACCTGGTGATTGTTGTCACGCTCTATCGGAAGTCTTACCTTCTCACGCTGAGCAACAAGTTTGTGTTCAGCCTGACCCTCTCCAACTTTCTACTCTCTGTGCTGGTGCTGCCTTTTGTTGTCACCAGCTCCATCAGGCGGGAATGGATCTTCGGAGTTGTTTGGTGCAATTTCTCAGCCCTGGTCTACATGCTGATCAGCTCAGCCAGCATGCTTACACTCGGACTCATAGCTATAGACCGGTAAGCAGCTCTCTCTACTGAATCATAATGAATTGCCTCCTCATTCCCCAGAGCAACTCCTTGGCTGCTCATAGAGTTGAGAAGCACTGCAGTGAATAACGTCGCATACCGTTATAGTGTCATTTTTCCTTCAGCCCCTTGTGAAATGATACAGAAGTGATGTCATCAGTAATGCAGAATGCAGACAGGCATCTAGAGTTTTTTAAAGCTCTTGGTGGTATGATAACATACTACTTGAGAAACAAGAGGCAGTCACTTTAAGTTCCATATTATACCTAAACATGCACTCACACGTAGGAACAGATTTCATAGCTGCATGTGTGCCTTCAGCCAAGTTTTGCAGTCTTGGCTGCAACGATATGTATTTATACATGTAAGTTTTATAAACAGGGTCCCTGAGCCTGCTTCGAGGTTTGGAGGAAAGAGAACTAGATATGAACATCATTAAAATACGTTCTTTTTTTTTATTGTGCGTCTTTTGTGCTTCTGTTGACTCCTTTTCTTGTCCACCAGGTACTATGCTGTGCTGTACCCGATGGTTTACCCGATGAAGATAACAGGCAACAGAGCGGTGGTAGCTCTTGTGTATGTGTGGCTACATTCCCTCATTGGCTGCCTCCCTCCCCTTTTTGGCTGGTCATCCTTGGAGTTTGACCAGTTCAAGTGGATGTGTGTGGCGGCCTGGCATAAAGAGGCTGGCTACACTGCCTTCTGGCAGATCTGGTGCGCGTTGCTGCCTTTTGTGGTCATGATGATCTGCTATGGATTCATTTTCCGCGTGGCAAGGATTAAGGCCCGCAAAATCCACTGTGGCAGCGTCATCATCGTGGAGGAGGACTCCCAGAGGAACGGGAGGAAGAACTCCAGCACCTCCACGTCTTCGTCTGGCAGCCGAAGGAATGCTTTCCAAGGGGTTGTTTACTCAGCCAACCAGTGCAAAGCTTTCATCACCATCTTGGTTGTCATCGGTGCTTTCGTCATTACATGGGGGCCTTACATGGTAGTAATTACCTCAGAGGCACTTTGGGGAAAAAACAGTATTTCCCCAGCCTTGGAGACATTAGCTACGTGGTTGTCCTTTTCCAGTGCCATTTGCCATCCACTAATTTATGGACTGTGGAACAAGACAGTGCGCAAGGAGCTACTGGGAATGTGCTTTGGGGATCGGTATTACCGTGAGTCCTTTGTTCAGCGCCACAGGACATCCAGGTTATTCAGCATTTCCAATAGGATCACAGGTAAGGTGCATGCCTGCAAAAGGCACTCTTCCTTAACACCCCTAAGGGCAAGGCTTAACTTCTTCTGGAAACAGAGTGGGATGTTTCTGGAGGTTTCAGCAGCCTTTTGTTCAGGTTATCATAGACACTTGAAAGGAGAATTGGTGAGAGTTAACCTCCTCCTACTCTAGTAAAATTTTCTCTGCCGGAGAAGACATAGTGATGAGGTTAAAAATAATTTATTTTCTTCTCATTCAAGCATTTTCTTTCATCTGCCCACTGTTTTGCGTTACTCCGATTTCAGCACTGCCACAGTGCATTTTGCAGCACTCGTTCTTTGATTAGTGGCTTTATGCTGCAACTCCTTGAGATGCACTAAAGTTAAACTGGTGTAAATTCAGTTTTTAGGCTTAATGGTTATGAAGAAAAGATCATAAACAAAGTAGAACTATGTAGTAGAAGTATTTGTCACCCCAAGTTGCAGGCTGAGAGCCTCAGTTGCCCAGAGTTTGTTTTTTTTTAAAGTAACAATGCAATGAAATTCTGTGTTTTTTTAATTTTTATTTTTAAAATATTTTTCCTAGTCCTGTTCAGAAGCATCGAGAAATGGGACATCTTCATGGGGTCCCTTATGACATTTCATGCAGAGGCAGGAACCAAAGTTAGTTAATGGGGAAGGAAGATCTGAAATGCAGAAAGAAGGAGAGAGCAGCAAGGCATCCATTATATTTTCTGCAGCCTGGGATCACTGGGACAGAACCCATCTAAATGAGAGTTCTGCAGCTGTAGCCGCTTCACAAGCTGCAGGAGCTTTGGCTAACCTGTGTCCAGGAGATGCTATGGATGAATACGTTGGGAACTGAGGTGGGAGGGAAAAGACAGGAAAGTTCTTTCTCTTCACAAGCAACAAGAAGCTGACAGCTTCAAATTTATCAGGTGTATTAGCTCAAGGTTGAGAGGGAGAGGAAAAAAAAAAAACCAAACCCATAACCAAACCCACAATGAATCTTGAAGTGTGATTCAAAGACAGCACCTTTGTAAAAATCCTAGAATCTCATCCCTTTTTTGTTAGGGGGATTTGAAAGAAGCCAGCCAGCCAGCCTTGCTCTTGAGCTTCCTGCCACACTAACAGCCAGTCAGAGCTGCTGGTGGCTACCAGGTTTGTCTCTGTCTAGAAGGTGTCTGGCAAATATCCCCATCTGTAAGTGCACGTGCTCCATATGCAGCCTGGCTGGCTGATAAAACGCATGCAATTGCAAAAAAGAGTGGGAGGGAGATGGTGCAGGTAGGAAGGAGACAGGCCACATGGCAGGACTGCCAAGGATACCTGAAAGCTGCTGACTGGATTTCTAAGAGGGGAAGTCCGGATGCTGTGCACTCTGGATCTGCAAAGTGAATTTTGTATGTAGAATAATAAGGCAGCAGAGTGGGTATAACGGGAAGAGGTTTTTACTATTGCAGATCTCTTAAACATTCGTTGTGTAACAGGAACAAAACTCTTGCAGATCTGGGTCTATCTCCTCATCTCACTGCCCTCATGGCAGGTGGGCGGCCGTTAGGAAACAGCAGCAGCACAGGAGACACAGGCTTCAGCTGCTCACAGGATTCAGGTAACTAAAAATCTCTTGCTCTGTTTTCTTGGGCAGAGGATTGCACTTGTAACTTGGCAGAACTCCGTGGGACAGTCTGTATTTATGCACGCAGATGTCTCTTGGTGGATGGATGACATGAAGCATCTGGTCCAACCGTTACAACAAAACTGCTGCAGTTAGTTTTTTCCTTCCTTGCTCTCAATATATTCACTTGCAAAATACTGTTTACTCTAAGGAGTGAGGATCCTTCCTTGATAATGTGTCCTGGGAACAGCACTCGCTGCTTTTGTGCCCTTCTCTTTTAGTTTCTATTGTTCTTCAGGCACTTTCCCTGTATCCCCAAGAAACAGAACAACGAAGTGCTGTGGAGAATGTGCTTCTCTTTCACAGTTTGTCTCATTCATCCTGCAGTACAAACATAAACAGGATGGTTTAATAACTAATTTAACAATCTCTCTAGCAATCTCTCAATTGAAGGTGGTTTGGAAATGGGGGAAAGAGTTCTGCCAGTAATTTTCTATCCAGTACTGCAGTTAGATTCTTCTGGCAGTTAATTCAACTACCACTCCTTAACTGCACTAATTATTTTAAAGAGTATTTCTGCTCTTGAGACAGCTGTTAGAGGTTTGTTTCTTATTTTCGTAAAGGAAGTCTGCGGAGCTAGGATTAATTTTGGTAGTTGTTTTACGTTGGTAGTTTTATGCCTGTTTGGGTATTCTGCAGTTGTATGTGATAAAGCAGAATAGCATCCTGGTAAACCTGCCTCGATTAAGAGGAGGTTGTGTTATATTTTGAGGAATGGTATGGAGCAGATTAAACAAACCGAACAAGCTAAATTGACAGTGAATGCTGTTAGAGGTGCCACTATTACGGAGGGGGCACAGTCCGTAGCCTGGGAATGGATGTGCAGTGATCGATCCCCTGTGAAATACTGTTTCACTGGATGCCTTTACTCTGAGGAACTAAAAAGCAGAAAGAAGTCTTAGTCCCTCCTCAGTGCTGCCTACTGCAGTACACGATCCCATGGCCTGCAATGCAGTTGTGTCTTTATCTGCCCTGGTAAACAGAAGCTGGGCTTTTCATGTCATGAAAAACAGGTGAAGTAGTAGGAGATGAAGAAAAATCAAGTGGTGCCAGCTGTACACAAAATATGAAGTGAGATCTGAGTCCTAATTGCTGGGAGTGCTGCCTTAAGATCAGTTATTCCAAGGACGAAGATCCACCCTGTAAGATTAAGAGGCTAGTCCTGTTACTAGCCTTACTTGAAAAAAATGCACTGAAGTAGTGCATTTTTTCAAATGCACTAAAATTCTGCTCTGTGGAACAAAGTATCTCTTTCTTCCTACTGCAGCCCTCCCATTGCATACTAGATTTCTGAGGAAGATCTGGTACCTCAGTAGAGATCAGTAAGTGCTCAGTAGACAGCCTCAAACCCAGCTGGTCCACAGAACAGCACAGAAGGTGGTTAGCTTTTTTGGGACTGTGCAGTAGGGCAGCAGCTCATTCTCTCTTTTGTGTGCTGGAGGTAGACATACGACATAACACATGAGTTTCGCCTTAAAAATTTTATCACTTTGCTATATCACAATAAATGGTCAGCAAAGACTAGACCTATGGAGCAGTATGTTGTCTAGAGGTATGTCCCCAGCGATGTCTTTCACTTCCTGTACAATGGGTGCTGGAATACGTCCTTATAGCAAAAAGAATAAATTTGGCGATCAAAAGCAGCCAAGTGGGTGAAGAGGGATGTGAAGCCACTGTCTGGAGGAGTTCTGAAACCTGTGAAAGGCTCTGTCCCAGGCCTGTTGTCACATCACAGGAGTAAATGGGCTGATAGTGAAGTGTCACACATGGAATGTGTGCAAGCTGTGTCCTCCGACAGCAGCTTCCCTGAGGGCTGCTCACTCCACACTGACCTAGCATCTCGCTGAAGCACTTGCTCTGCTTCTCCCTTACACAGCAGAGACCAGCACTGCAGGGGTGCCCTAGTCTAGGCTGCAGTCTTGCCTGTGTCTGGAAGCATTTCAGAGATGCCAAGATTAATTTCATTGTGCTTGTAAACGCTATTTAATATTGGAAAGGTGCAAAGCAAATGCAGGGAAGTGAAATAAATAAAATAATTATTGGACTGGATAAAAGACTCGTCAGACAAAAATAATTCTCAACCAGCAAGGGAATTTTCCCCATTAAAATACACTTCAAGAAAGACAAAATAGGTTATTAGAGACAAACTAAATTGAACAGAAAATTCTCCAGTTCAGATTTCCATCCAGGTCTGATTACAAACATGACATTTGGCAGCTATGGTCGTCTGCCTCTGAGGTCACCAGGAAATGGGGGGAGTTGCCCTCAATTTTACCCTTTATTTACTGAAGATAAGGTTTCACCTTTGCTGTCCTCTTGACATTATAAGCTCTGAAGCTGAGCATATTGGAGCTGCTTGAGGATTTAGATGGCTAATGAGAAAAGATTTCCAAATCCTCTGAATGAAAACTCTGACCTCAGTTTCTGTGAAGTGTTTATTTTGAGCTGAAATTTAACTCATAAAAGCTGGGTTTAGGCATCTTTTGCAGAAACTGTTATAGACTGAAAAGTTTTTGCCACCACTTAAATATTGTATCCCAGTGTTACTTGGTCATGCTTGAGAACTTTTGCTTTGTTTCAGGAACAGATGCAATGCTTCTTGAAGATTATAGTTCAGATGGCCCTCATGCCCCACACTGCATCTGTCCTCCTCGAAGGAGGAGTTCAGTGACATTTGAAGATGAAGTGGAGCAAATTAAAGGTGGGTTTAGGTGTAAGTATGGAAATACTCAGAACCAACAATACTGCCTGCTCAGGAAGCCTTCCAGGACCTTCAGAATTGCCTTAAAACATACCTGATCACTGTTCACATTGACAGACCTGACCATTCATATGAGTACAACAGCAAGTAAGGTCAGGTCTTTCCTCCAGTTCTCAATTAGCAACAGACAAGGACAAGAGTTAAAAGCTGTGTTTTCCTGCACACCTACCATTTATGTTGCACAGCAGTATCCTCTCTGCAACTCCACTCATCTGGTGGCTGTTGTATTCTGATTTGTGTTTCTCAGGGAATACATTTTCTTGCCCTTGTACTTTAATTGCATTATCCCGCTGTTTCTCATTTGCTGCCTTCTCTCAACTTTGTCATTCACAGACTTGAAATTCTTCCATTTACAGACTTCAATGGTCTGAATATAATTTCATTCTTTCACTTAACTTTTTTTTTACTTTACTTCACTTACTTTATTATGTTTCTCAGCAGATAGGGGTGAGAATAGATGAACCACTTTTTTTCAGTCAACTCACTTGATTCTGTGCTAGCTAAGTGCTGCTGTGATAATCTGTAAAATATGGCAAAGTTAGTTTAAGCTGATAGTTGGAATAATAGGACTAGAAGACTTGATAATAACAACTGAATTTACCAAACAGTAAATTATTGCAGACAGTACAAAACTGAGCAGAATGTATTTTAGAATCAAGTAATAGTAAAACTTGACTGGTTTCTATGATTCTGAAATGATGAGAAGACTCTTTCTGTGGAATTTTCCCTTGAAACATCTTGGCAAAATTCATTTTTGCCCTCTTCCCAGCATGAGGTGATTATTTCCTTGGACAAATACATTACCATATGTTTCCCATTATCTTTCTCAGTGGTTATATAGGGGCAGGCATCTTACTTCTTGTGCAGCTCAGTAAAAGATGCAAAAGTTCCCCACAGCTTTAGCAATTCTACCTGGTATGTCTCTGGGGTTACAGATGCCCAACATGTTGGTGGGTAGAGAGGTAAAGCTACAAAAGCAACTACATCAGCACTGAAGAGAAGGTGTATCCAAGGTAATAAAAGGTTAGGAAGAAGTACACTGTTGTTTGCAACTGCAGTCTCCAACCTCTCCTGGCATGGAGAGCTCTACAGCTTCCCCACTGGAAGTAGAGGTGTGTCCTACGGTGTGGCTGGAACAATTTTAAGCCTAAGGACAGCAGACTGATGATTTTAATCACTACTTGGAAAAAGCTGTTGGGATTTGGGGACTGCATAAATACAACATCTGATGTTTGGGCTTAAAACATAGTACAAAATAGCTGTTAAACTGTCAATGAAGTGCAAGGTCTTAGTCCAAATGCACTTCAGAATCCCTGTAAGGCTCTAAGTCATGCTTACAGCAGAGGAAGTACAAATTGAGGGTTCTCTTCCTGTCTTCTGCATGAATTCTTGCCTGATGCCAGACAATTCCTATTGTCTCTAATCCTGGACTCCGGGTTGTAAGCCGAAATCAGGCTATTGATTTCAGTTGGGCACAAATTCAGACCAATAAAATCCTGTGCGCGCTGGTCCAGATTCAGAAAAATCACTCGAGATACACTTAATTCACAGTTAAATGTGTATAAGCACTTTGCTTCATCAGATCTTTTTTTTCACTTGAATTGGAGGTAATCATTCTCTGCTTGACCTGTCGAGGTCCCTCTGAAGCTTTGTGTTCATAGGATGGTTTAGGAACCCTGGGTATTGTTGGTAAACGCGCTCTGTAGGATCCAGGCATGATCATACCTTTACAAAATACTGGCCTCCAAGCAGCTGTGCAGCCATGCTGATCAACTGTTCGTTTTCTGATATGTTGCTTTTTTTTTTTTTTCCTCAGAAGCTGCAAAGAATTCTGTTCTTCACGTAAAAGCCGAAGTCCATAAATCTCTGGACAGTTATGCATCCAGTTTAGCAAAAGCTATTGAAGCTGATGTGAAAATCAGCTTGTTTGGGGAAGATGCTTTACCAGGAGCTCTGTTGTTCCCTGTGCGGGCTCTGCCAGCAGGCAGTATGAACACACGGCGTGGTGTCAGGCCCCACGCTGACAAGAGACTTAAGTTGCAGAGCATCGATGAAGGGAATATTTGACAGGAGCATTGGAGTAAGAGAGCAGAATGAAACCACTGAATGGGATCTATGACAGCTGTTAGTGCTTCTACAGAACCAGGACACCTTGTCAGGGTATTTTAAGTGTTTTTTCAACACTTGAAAACCAGCTGAATTCTGGTACTTACATCAGCATTTGTTTACAGTTTAGGGTGCTGTTGACTCTTTTGTGCCATGTCTTAAATCTGCCACACAGTGCATGGGAATGACCAGATCATTAATCTGTTGGATCTTGGGTCCGTTATTGGCCAAAGCCGATACAGGAATGAAAAAGGAAAAGCATGTGCAGTGTTTAATTCATTGATCCTTTTCTGACCACCAGGATAATCAGTTTATACTTGATAGCTGGAGTGCTCTGATAGGAACTCATGCAGTGGATATTACGTACAACCTTACAGTCACAGACTCCCAAATGAGGAGCATGGACTTCACTAAGGGCAAAACCTGAACTTTTTTGAGAACTCATGCTAATTATGGTCCTACTTACCCTTGCTAGCAGGTATTTCTGGCTGTTTGGCCATCAGAATGCTAGATCTGCAAGCAGACCGTGCGTTGCTCCTGCATTATGAGACACCAGCTTCTCTAGATGTGTGTGGGAGCAGACCTGTGCTGGAAATACTGCAAAGATGCTATTTGAGGAAATCATCAGTGCAGGGTTCTTAAGTTTCTCTGAGAACCTCACTTCCCTGTTTTTTCTTTTGCTAGAAGGGCACTCTGCAGCTGTGCTAAGCTTGACAGAATATAAATAAGGTATTACCACTTCATATTCAGGATTCATCTTTTCTAGAGTGAGCAGTTCTGTAAGTTGGTTTTTGGTTTTTTTAATCATGAGGGAATGTAGTATTTAAGCTATAGTTACCTCAGTGCATATATTTCTTGGAGTATTAACTCATTACTCTCTAAAATAAGAACATTTGGCACTTCTATTGCACTTTGCCTGTTCTTAAGCACTGTACAGATGTTATCTTGTTAGGCCTTTCTGAACAGGTTGGTCAGCTGTGCTTGCCAAAGAAGGGGGAAGCTTGGCAACAGTCAAGCTGCTGGCAGTGAAATGAGCTGCAAAGGTGGAAAGGTTTGTGACAAAAAGAGGGATGAGGCAGATTGTACAAGTGTGCCTGGCTTGAGGAACCTTTCCGTGCCTTCCCAGGCTGGCCTCTTCCTTCCTTTGTGGGGTTACAGCCTTGCCTTACTGCTTATCTCAGAGAGGGAGATGTAAGTGAATAGGGTCATTTCTTGGGGGTGGGTGTCAGTAGCCAATGGATTTAAGGACCAAGGATTTTCATTGTTTACTCCATGTTCTCGCCCGTGCCTCCACCTTTCCCCAGAAGTGGTTTGTACAAGTTTTTGCTGTAGAATGTTTGGGAATCGGGCGCAGGACGTTTCCATCTGGGCAAAAACTGGGTGTACTGTACGCTTGTTAAATTATGACTCGTTCAGAGGCACAGAAACAAACCATTTTTGAGGCAGAGCCTCTGTCCAGTACTGTGCTTAGACATCCTATTTGTGTTCCCAACTCAGAAATACAGTTCAGCACAAGCTTATGTCCATCTCTGGACAAAGCAGCTTGACTTTATGAACTAGCCTGAATCCCGTTACATTCCCATGTAGGATAGAACTGCATGCTTAAAATTCAGTACGTGGTTTGCTGATTAAGAACAGGCTGTTAAAGCAAGAACACTTAAGCACCAGTAAGATGACTCCTTGTGTAATACAGGAATTAAACAGCTAATAATAGTGAGGCCCTCACTGCTGTATATTTTGCTTTTAGTGTGTTAGATAAATTGGCACCTGTGGGCAATCATTGAAAAATAATTAAAAATCCCAGTATTAGCCAGGAAACGCCCTGCACTGAGGTCATTATTGTGATCATTACACAGTTGCTCATAGTACTCAGCACTTCTTAAGGTATATACTTGCCTTAGATGACTTGTTTTATCTGCATCCCTTTTATTGCGTATTCCAGCTTCAAAACCAGTCGAGCAAAGTTGTTGCTGGATGTGAAAAGGGCATGGGTGAGTGTGAATTCATTGTGGTGGGGTCAGTGCTAGCTGAAAACGATGTATATTAGGAGGAAAAATTCCGAGGCACGTGTGAAAGCACGTTTTTCACACAGGTGCTGAGCCAAATGCAGCCTTCAGGCAGGTCAGTGGCGTTGCACCAGTTTACACCATGATTTGGCTGTCAGTGTTGGTTTCACTAATCTGTTATTTAGTGTAAATGTTGTTAATGTTTTTGTTACACACGTTATAAACTTTCCATAATTCTGTTATTACCAGAGTCAGTATCTCACCTGAATTGTTGTTAACAAAAGCAGTAATAAAGAAATGCACACGTTTTGTAAAATTGTATTTCCCACCTTAAATACAAAAGGAAAAAGCCCAGCTTCTACCGGTCCCTGCTGTTTGTTTCCACTGCTGTTATTTCCACTGAAATTTATTTTAAAATATTTCACTTTAAAAAGTATATTGAGCGTCATGGATGAACGTGGCGAGCCCTCAGGCCACTGCCCAGGGCGCGGCTGTACCAGAAGCCGGCGGCTGCCGCCGCAGGACGCTCAGCAGCCGCGCGTCCCCGCGCTCCATCGACCCGGCAGCTCTCGGACAGGTGAAAAACAACTCAAAAGGGCTTTTAGGTGCTGCCCGGCTCGACCCACCAGCCCCACGCACCGAGGTCGCGGGGAGGCGGCTCAGGGCTGCCGCCGCGGCGGCGGCCACGCCCCCTCAGGCCGCCCGCCCCCTAGGCCCCGCCCCCCCGTAGCGTGCCCGCC